TTGCCGGCTGGGCGCGGTGCCCCGCGGAGGGGCCGAGGCCCCGGGGCTGCGGTCCCTGGGTGCCCCCCGGGGGTGTCGGGGGAGGGGTGGAGGAGCGGCACCGAGAGGGGTGACGCACACCCCCCGCCCCAGCGCTTCCAGAAGCACTTCTGGCACCGGTATCCCCGCGGGCTTCTGGCGGTCGATGGGTGTAAGCAGCCCTCCCCAGCGGCAGGGCGGTACAAAGCCTCTTGCTCTCAGCCGTCCCGCGTTTATCAGGCCGCCTTCCGTGATTTTTGTCGGGTTTTAATTAGCTGTGATGCTTAATTACTGTTACTGCAGTCTCCTACAAACGTTCAAGTGAAGGCAGCCCTGTAAAACGGGGGGTAAGAACGGTTAGCTGAGAGTCGGTCCTTTCCCAAAGTCCGAATCGTGCAAGTATCTTGTCAGTCAGATTGCAGTTTTAAAACGCACTGCTTTTCTTGTCCCGACTCGTTTTGATACCGTGTGTATTTGAAGAATACGTAACCGAATCATAAGGTAGCACGTTTCTGAAATGTTGTTGTGTGAATCAAAGTAGGTAGGCTCGCATAGCAGCGGCAGGGTATTTCTGTAATACGACTGTTAATGAGAAAGTTAGTGCCTCTGCACATCACTATTAATCCTACTTTTAAAGGTATCCTCCCAGACTAGAATCTGAGCACTTTTAGAGACTTTATAAGGTCTTTATTACTGGAATATTTTGGTAAATCATCTTTCACTTATTTTTAAAACTTGTTACTTGGTAAATATTGTGACTAACCTATGTGAAATAATTTCATGTCAGATTCACCCTTAAGTAAAAAATAAGCCACCATATCTACCTATGGGCTAACATGTGCCCCCTCCTTGAAACATGAAGCTGTGCAAAATGATGCTCATACATACAGGAGAGCTGTATGCATTACAGAGTTATTTACGTAATAAAAGTGGACGTAATATAGCTACTCAGTTGTGCAGATTTAAGAAATAGAATTTTTGCAGTCATGTCAGTAAAACTATTTCATGCTATATTATTGTTTTATCTGCAGCGAGTTAGCAATTTAAAAAACATAATGGCAATATATAATACTATTAACATTTATGTTCCTAATTCTCCAAAACATTTGCAAAATTTGCAAAACCTTATATGCGTTAATTTAAGAGATTACTTATTGCACATACATTTACAAGTGTGTACCTGCTTACATTGTGGGACTGGAGCTTTCTTTACCTTTGCAAAATATTGCAAACTTTCTGTCAAAGGAAGATAGTTATTAAGTGTATTTGTGCAATTCTGGTTCATGCATCAAACAGATATTTATAAAGCTCTCCATTTATCTCCCTCAACACTGCTTACAGTATTTTCTATTTAAATGGGGTTTTTTTAAGCAATAATTTTATCTTGTTTAATTTTTATGTGTTTCACTTTTATTTTATAGGAGATTTACGTGACTCTGCATTACCTTTGTTGAACTCACCTAGGTAAAGTAGTATTGGCCAGTTCCCGTATATGAATAATCACATTACACTAGGTTTTGTTTGCACTTTTTGTGCAACTCTGTAAAATAATTTAAAGGGTTTTTTTCTTTCCATGTTTTCCTGCACAAGATTATTGCCTTTCTTTCTGAACTTCCTTATAGCTTTAAAAAAAATAAAATTCACTTAATAAAAGTGTTATTCTGAGGCATCAGATTCCTCTTGGAATGCTGCCATGCAGTAAATTCTCATTTGTCCACTAACTCTGCGGCTGGACTCTAGAACTTCTCTGAAGAGATATTCCATGAGGAACTTCAATTCTATGAGGAAGTCCTAAGCTAAACCAAAAAGCCCTCCAAATATAAACAGTTTCTGCCACAACTCATCATAATATTGTCTAATAAAAAATATTCATCAAGTTAGTGAGTTGTGTCTTAAATCTGGTATAACATCCTCCCTTTCTCAGCTGCTTCCTGTTCTTTTTTTAACCCTTTCCTCTGTCACTCCCCAACCCCACATTTCAGTCTTGAAGTCCTTCCATCACTTTGAAAACTGTTCTGCTCCTTTCTCTTGTTTACCAAGAGTTTTACAAAGTAAAAATCGGTAACAGTTATAACACCCTTGTGCTATAACTGCCTTTTGGGAAAGAATGAAGTAAAGTAAATCCAAGTTTGCTGCTATTTCATGTAAGAATTTGATTCTTTAGTATTACACAGGTGTATTGGTATTTGTGCAAGAATTCAAAGTTTTAAAGTAATAGTCATGCGTAGCTACTTGTTCAAGCTAAATTTACTCGTGCATCCAGTGATAAATGTGATGAAATAGGTTAGGGAGCTTTTAGATGTAGGCACTGCTATACTTTATTGGACTCATGGATCAAGAATTGATTGTGCCTTCCCTTCTTGAGGGCAGCAAAGAAAAATGCTAGTAACTTTTTTTGCTGGAATGTGGCATCATCTGCTCCATTTGTAGAGTCTTTCATAACTTTGAGTAGTAAGAAGGGTGTTGGAAGCCCATGGTCTTAAACTACCAAGACTTTTATTATAATGCTGGTTTTATATATCTCATTCACTATGAAATGTGTTCTCTTAGAGCTGAAGTTACATGCAACAGCAATAAATTCCACTAACAATGTTCTTTGTTTTTAAACCTGCTGCATTGTTACCTTTAATAAATGTTTGACTTGTAAGCAATTGATGTCTACAGCTAGAAGTAGTGTATTTGTATTGTATTACTTCACGTGCTTAATCTGATTTTTGTGATTTAATTTTATCAAACAGCTGATAGATCTGTTTTGAAGTAATCTAATGCATAAATATCAATTTAGTGTTGAAGGTGACGCTATCAAAGTTTATGTAAGGGTACGTCCCCCTTCAGAGGGAACTGCGTTAACCGATGGAGATCAAGGCTTGTGTTTATCTGTTCTTTCATCAAATACCATCCGTCTGCATTCAAAGCCTGAGCTGAAGATCTTTACTTTTGATTATGTCGCAAATATGGAGACAACACAGGTATTAACTTCCAGAATCTCATAAGAGTATTGCAGTTTCTCCCCAAATTTTGGCAACTGCTACGCTAAACCTTTCTAAAGATGAAATGCCTTAGGTCTTATTTTTTGCAGTGGTCAGATTGGTAATATGCAATTATAGTACAGAAATGTTGCACTAAATTCTGCAATGCAGAATTTCAATGCATTTTTTACCTGTTAATTTCTTTAATTAAAGTTTGCATTAAAATTGAAGCTTCTATTTGTAAATGTTACAGTAACACCATAGACAGAAAACAACCTCCCCTGTTGAGATAAACATACAAAAGTAGCTGACAGTCAGTAGCTGATATTAAAGATTTGATTTGTATGTTAGGAACTTACGGGTTTATATTCTATTAGTTATATTTCCTTCTTACACGTTTGCCTTTTAAACCGATGCATTGTTCATCTGGAACAGGTAGCACTGGAAGGAAAAGCCTTCAATTTAATTGTTATAGTATTGTGTTTGAAATTCGGAACACAATTTTAATTCTTCTAAGACTTCAATTCCATTTAACTTCTGTTTAATAAAACAAAACCACCCAAAAAACCCACCCACCATAGGCTGCTATTTGTAGCTAGGCTCTTCTTGCAGGTTGAAGAGAAATACGTGAGAATAGATGCAACTAACACTTGTGCAGATTTGCTGAATATGCCATTGTGCAGTGGCAAATGTTGAAAGTTAGCTAGATTTTATGACTATCATAGGCTGAACGTTAACCTACTGATGGTATAAACCACATAACATAATGAAAACCACTGCACCAAAATTAACATAATATATCTTTGAAAACCATTACTATGATGCTGAGTTTTATTATTTTTCTTTCCGTTATCAACAAGGAATAATTTTTTTTCAGAGGGAGTGATTTCTGTCACAAGGACTTAGGATGTATTGTT